TAGGTGGTATATAACATGTTATATGTATAGCGGTACATATATAGCATGTTGGAAAATTCCTATCCTACTATTATGTTGTTTATTGACACACATATACAGGGTCTCATTTGAAGTGAAACACGCAATTATGTCCTAAACTATTCGTTATTGAAAAAAATGTTTCAAACAAAACTTACTTTGTTTTGAGGGGAGCATCTTGTAATGGTCACAAATCTTATCTAGGAGGACGTGCCTTTGAGATTTCAAGGTGACTTTTGATTTTTCAAATAGAACTATATATTTTCGTTGAGATGGGCGTGTAGCCCGTCCCAAATTACGAATTCATCGACCTAAATATGTTGGTGTTCTAAGGTCATTCAAGGTTATTTAAATTTTAATTTAATTAAGGTCCAGAAATTGTTCCTTATCTTCGGTATTCAAAATGATGACCTCGGATATTAATGCCTTGATTTACTCGATCTCTAAACGATAGTTGCACCCTCTCCAATGTTGCAGAAATAATTTGTTGGAAGGCATCCTTTATACGATTTTTCATATTATCAGGGGTAATGGGTTCTTCCCGATAAACTTTATCTTTTATAAAATCCCACAAAAAGAAGTCTATAGGTGTCGAAATATGCGGAGACTTTGTTGGGAAGGGTATCCTGCTTCCTCTTCCTGTCCAACGACCGGGAAACATTGTTCAATGTTACTAGAACTCGACGGTCATTATGGGGGAGGGGTAGCACCGTCATGCTGAAACTACATTCGTATCCTGGTAGCGTATGGTAAATCATCCAGAAGAGTTTGGAGTTCGTTGATTAAAAAATCATTGCAGCGGACTATTGTTAGTGTACCATTAAAAAAAATAAGGTTGCACTACGTATTCACTTACAGTGCCACACTAAACATTTACAGTTCTCCGACTAATAGGCATTATGTGGTTCATTTTAAATGGGACATTCTGTATATACAGGGTGAGTTACATAAACTGTTCTTAAGTAAATATCTCTTAACTGAAGTGATACATTGTAAGACTATCTGTTGAGACTTCTATGGTAACAAGGGGCACATTTTTTTAATAAGAATATTTTTTTGCCATTTTTAGCCATTTAGAGAATGTGAAGATGAATACAATGATGTTATAACATGATCTCCAAATGATCTTAACTAACAAACCTTTTCTTATTGACAGACTCAGTTTACTCTGATAGTATCTATTGTTGTTACTACTTACCAAGTATTCAACACTGTTAAAACACACTTCCTGAACTAATGGAGGATATTTCCTTGCGTATACGTCTTAAAATGTGGATGCAAAACGACACACAGTGGTCTAAAATCGTAAAAACCTGGACTTAATTCATAAATCTCTTAATTATACATTATTACTTATAAATATGACAGTTTTAAGGGTTTTTGGGGTCATAGATTACGCTTACAGTATTATTTTTTTGTTAGGATAAGAAACTACCCTTAACACGTTGAATGCCACGCTAATTTTACATGGCTTGCCCGTCGAGCCAACATAAATTTCTTATTATGCGTTACATATTATGGTGAAATATTATTTACAACAGGCACGTTAAGGTGTGTAATCATGTGTGAGGCACTTATCTTACTGGGGATCACCGGTGACCCCTACGGTGTGGAAATGCATTTCTTTGTTTTCGCAGAATTTTTTAATTTGTTTGAAATAGTTTCAAAAAAGTTGTGACATTGTGGAGACTGTACTGGTTCACTTTTCCTTTGTTTGAAGTGTTTTAATATGACACATCGCAATATGTGCGCATAATATTTAAGCTTACATGTTATACATATATGTATATAAATAAAACTATTTTATATGTTCTATATTGCATTAATCTCTTCACACCATTTTAGTAACGATGATAATATTGAAAAATTTTAAAGCATTGAAATTTACTCGAATTATGTGTTTCTAGTAATCTTGGCATCGCCGGTCACGGTGACCCCGACGGCGCTACGAACAAACTTATTGTTAGTGCCGGTCACCGTTGACCCCCATGGCATTCAACATGTTAAAAAGCTACCCTTATAAGGGATATTTCATGATATGGTAACAAGGCTTTGCTAGGCAATTTAGAATGTAATTTTAAGCAAATAATGTCATATAAACATGGTCTCAAAATTCAGTAGTTAACAATTTATTATAAACAAAAGATAAGATTTTCGCTAATTTTGATATATCAGCTTGTTCTAGCTTGTCTATAATATATACATTTCTTTTCATTGTTTAGATATATGGGAACAATTATATATTGGTTTCATTCTTATTTACAATATTCCTTGCTGCCTAAAGTGTTGTTAGAAAACAGAGTCATTTTGACCCACACGGTACCAGTTATGCAACATAGCTTCACCGCACCAGTTACGGGATAACTAATATAACTTTATACTAGAATATTAAAAGTAACAAAAAGAACATAAACACTGCACAAATAATTTTTAAACTTGTTCGTACAAGAAACATAGGAGATTTACTCGATATTCGCTCGTAGTAGACTATTTCACGGCTCACATAGATCTGTTAGGTTGCATTCAGATAAGCTCTTAGAAGAAAATTTTTCATTTTATAGGAATGAGAGGAGTGACGAAGAAATAGAACCAGCGACAGAGTCGAAGGGATCGAAGAGTCGAATATCATCTATAGTATTGGGACCAAATGTCATTAGTAAATTGCGGATGTTTATGCAAATTGATACTTTTCTAAACGCAACTAAAAAAATGCAGTTCAAATAGAGATTCGTTTCACCCTTCAAATATTATCTCTTTTTACTTTTGATATTTCACTCTATGCTTTTTTGAACAACCACAATTCCCATAAATGTATAAACATCCGCAGTTTAGTCATTAGAAATATACAACATTATGTACAACATAATATGATAACATTAATACCAATACTATCGATAATATGCACTCCTCAAAATTGAGGGAAATGAAACGACTCTGCATTGCCACAGATATATCACCATAATTTCCGTTTAGGCAAGTATATGCAAACAAATGTCATGCATCTACTTCAAGTAGGTACTAATAAATACTTTCACGCAAAATTTATTGTAACTTTGCGTAAATTCCGTTTTGTAAACATAATTAAAGCAAAGAGAACGGCATAAAATTGAGATTCACGGAAGGGTATCTTTAAGGGAGCTTTCACAATTTAATTTTTTTTACATGTACATATAGTTGAAAGGATACTATTCAACGCTATGTTAATTAGATTTGAGTTAACTCTTATCTGTAGGAAAATATCGCGTAGCGAAATATGTCAACTTGAGAAAAAATATGATCATTCTAGAGCAATTTTTCCAACTTTAAAGATGTTTCAACAAATTTTGGATGACTTATAGCAAGATTTATATATACCACAACATAATATATACAATTAAGAATCTGTAACCAAAATTTCATACCTTTTGGAAGAAGTCGAATATTTGTATTAAGTCCGGGTTTTTACGATTTTAGACCACTGTGCGACAGTGCTCCACCATTATGCACATTATGTACGATAACTAATGAATGAACAATTTCCGAAAAAATGGATAAGACGTGGAAGTCTAGTTCTCTGGTTAGCACCGTTGCCTTTAAATTTCTTTTTATTGGGGTTTATCAAAGAATGATTAACACTAACCATACAACTCCCAGTCAAATAACTGGTTTTAAAATTTGATTTAAAATCATGCACCTGTTTTTTTCCGTTCTTGTTAAAAATAAAAATGAGAATATTTATTATTATCTAAAGGCTATTTTCTGCGTCGTTTCCTATATTAAATTGATACGAGTGTGAGCTTCCCCTTTCGGGGCACCCAGAGTACCGAGACTTAGGCCTCTACAGCTCGATCCACTTATCCAACTACGTCAAACAAGATGACATAGGCTGGCAAACTTCGCGTGTGGGCTCCATTTCATACTACTCAGGCCTAGGACGCCCGACCGTCTTGCTCTGAGCCCTGTAAGGAGTTTTTCTCTTAATGTCCTCAGCCATGGCGCCGAAAATAATTTTTTGGCGTCTTAGGCGCAAAAACAAATTTCCGGTCCTCCTTACCTTTCATCGTGGCCTAGCGTCCTCACCTGATGCTAGCCAGAAGTGTAGCACGTATCTCGGTGGTCCCGGCCGAGTCGCCGCGCCGCCATTTGGCGTCCGTCCTCTTTGAGGAGTTCACTCCGCCACCATGTTGAGGTAGATGGCCACGATTTGGAGGGAATGTGGAGGAGTATCTCCCCACCGGGCAGGGATATTAAATTGACAATCAGCTGTATTCCTTTCGGAAAAATATGATTATTTCATAACCGGATATTTGATCGGCTACGGTAAGAATAGCTATACATAAAGCGCAGGTACGGTTAGTGTTAATGAAAAATGCAACAACACCAAAAGAAGAGATAAAGGACAGAGTTCTAGAAGTTTGTACAGAAATTACACTTCAGATGTTCACTTCAATACAACAATCTCTTCAAACGAGAATACATAAATGTTTGCAAATAGATGGAAAACATTTTGAATATTTATTGTAACCTTTTGACAGTGTCCAATACTTAATGAGTAGCAACAGTAACAGATACCATTAGTAAACCGAGTCCATCAGTAAAAAGAAAATTTCACTAGTTAACACATTCGCTGCCACTCAAAAATGGAAAAGGGGCACGTTGTGTGCCACCGATTTGTATTTGTGAGCGAGGCATGCCCACACATACACGCCACCTTTGCGTTTAGTGGAGGATTTGTGGTGGTAGCCGTCTGTCAAACAGTGGCAGCATCAAATTTGATGCGACCGATCGACACGTCTCTGTTGATGCGGGCACACAGGACAATACATTCCGAACCCCATATATGTACTACGCCCGTGACAGCAAATGTATTAAGGACGTTTGAAGGTCACATTATAACATATCATTGTATTCTTCTTCACATTTGTGAGATAACCATGAGGTCAAAAATATAATATTCCACTTAAAGAAATAAAGGTAACTTTTAAAATTCAACAGGCAGATATTAAAAAAAGGCTATTTTTGGCCCCACGTGGAAACGAAAAATTCATGCAGGATATTTAAGAATATCTCTTAAGAAACAAAAAATGTTATATAAATGTTATGTAAGCATTTATCCGAAATGTGATGGGAAAGTTGTAAAAAAGATATGAAAAGATTGTTATTATAATAATGGTTTGGTATGAATTGTGTAGGGTAAATAGTTTTTTTTTATGAAGTTATAAAAGAGATTTCAAGATCAAATTAATTTTTTTAAATGGGATAGTATACATCTTTATTCATAATATGACAACATTTATTAAAACGAGTACAACCGTGTATCGAATAAGGTCGTTCAATGTATGTAGTAGAAAAAGTGTTATATATAAAACTTATACGATATGAAGGGGGACATAATGTGATGTACGTGTACATACTTTTTACATAAGGTAGAGGCATAGAGGAGGAGATTTCAAGATCATCACTATTTTTTTAAATGGGATACTATATTTTTCTTATTGCTGTATGATAGCCGTTGGTGTGGCAATTTCAGCATGCTATCATTAATCTATATCTAATCTAATCATCATCTAATATCATCATTAATCTAATGTACCAAATGTGGTGGTACAATCAATTTTTTTACATCACAGAAGATGTTCGAAGTGTTGACTATTTGTGTCGATGTAAAGTTGCAATCTTTATATCGCTAAATCACGGCACGTCTTATCTAAGAGACCCATTGATAAAAATACGGTCCAATTATTTGATCACGAACGATTCCGCACCACACATTAACTACCCATTGTCATTGATGCTCAGCTTGTCGTAACGAGCATAGTTTTCTATGGTTAGTAAATGTAGCTTCATCGGTAAATAATATTGAAGAAATAAATTTTCCATTCATTTGTATTTCATGTTCGGCCCATTGACAAAATGTGACACGATTCATAAAATCTATACTGCGTAAATCTGGGTGGAAACTAATACGGTATAGATGAAATTTATATCGTGCAAGAATTCGTAACGCGCTCCTCCTTCTGATAACAGACTCACGTTCAATTTGTTGGAAACTAATTTTTGAATTACGAGCTACCATCGCAAGACCACCAATTTCGTTTGTTTCATCGGTTGTCCATCTTCGATAGGCAATTTTGATTAGGCTTACGTACAGCTGATCTTTTGGTGTCTTTTAATTTTTTACAGAATCTCTGAAATATTCGATGCGACGTGTGTGTACGATTTGGGTACCTCCAGCATACAAGGTTTGGGCTCTTCTTGAATTTTGATGAGTTTTCTTATAAGTGGGGATCATTTGTTTTTCAAAAGGAAACCTCACCTTGATTGTCACGGTGATATTAGATTCAGCAATCAATTGATACTGACTACCGATATTCACGCAATGTTTACGTTCGCAGCTGTACATAATGTATTATTAGAACATAAACACTGCGGCAAAACTATCTGTTTACTTTATAAGAGTCAATGAATTACACCATGTGTTAGAATAATTCTAGTGATGATAAGACATATCCGTGGTTTCACAATTCGAAAGTAATAATAATTGTTTCACGATCTTCAATGACCTTCAATGACCTTTAATATTAGGTGTGCAAATAAGTTCGGGGCCTTTTTATTCAATCGATCGTCTTAAAATGTGTACCTTGAGCTTAAAAAAGACCCCGCTGACCGTTGCAGTACCATTGACCAAGCCAACAAACCAGTCACAAACAGTATGGCCTGCGACAAGCATCATTTGCGTCACTGCATCCTTTTCGCGTTCCAAATGAAGAAAACGGCTGCTGATGCCACTCGCATGATCTGTGAAACGCTGGGTGAGGGCATTGTGACATACAAAACGTGCAAAAAGTGGTATCAGAGATTTAAAAGTGGCAATTTCAACTTGGAAGATGAAGAACGCACAGGTGCTCCGAAAAAATTTGAAGACGAAGAGTTGGAGCAGGTGCTCGCCGGAAACCCAACGCAAACACAAGAAGAACTGGCGGAATTATTATCAGCAGCAATTAATGAATTTGCACGATGAATTGGAGAGAAAACGGCCTTTCACAGGCCAAGGAACCAGGCACGTGATCCTGCAGCATGACAACGCTCGGCCGCACGTTGTACAAGAGACGAGAGAGACAATGTATGCGTTGGGATGGGAAGTCATGCCACATGCGGCATATTCCCCAGACCTGTCCCCAACAGATTACCATCTGTTCAGGTCCCTCCAACACTGTTTGTCGAAAAGGTGAAAAAATGTATTGACGACTTCATCGCCAGCAAACCGTCGTCCTTCTTCCGGGAAGGCATCTACAATTTACCACATAGATGGGGAAGAGTAGTAGAAAATAATGGGGAATACTTTGAAACATAATCTTGTACACCTTTTTGGTAAATAAAAGTTGAAAATCACTAAAAAAGCGAACTTATTTGCACACCTAATAATAGTATACTGAAATTATCATAACAGCGACAAAACAATTATAGCGTCACATCATGACCCCCTCCATATCATGCAAGTGTTGTATATAACATTTTTCTACATTATTACAAATAACGTAAATATTCCAGGTGGACAAAGTTTTTGCACCACCCTGTGTATTTCTTTACGTTATAGCATAATTTCTTAAACAAAGAATCATTGCAGCATATGCTACCACGGACACGGTACAAAATAGACCTTGCATCTATGGGACTTTTTGTCCGGGGTTTTGAGGCCAAGAAGACCCTTACCATTTTCGTGTCGCTACCGACGTTACCGATTAAGCATAGAATAAGATTACAACATCAACAGTGGTTGGAATGGGAATTAAACGTAACTATGAAATTACAAATGAAAAAGTAATATAATTGTTTATTAGTAGATGCTTCGTCACATGCGCGTGTTCTACTACTGTCAAAAAATCGTGAATAGTTCTACTCAAGCAATTCAATATACATATGTATGTATTTTTATATGCATATTTAATAAAAAAGGATTTTTTACATCTGTCGATTTTACTATCTTTGATGGTTGGATTATATGTAATTTCTAAACTCACCGCTTTATATCATAGATATAAATACTCATAACAGAAACTGACTTTTTACACGAACGGTATTTCAGAACGTTGGACACAAAAATACATTAGATGCAAGGTATATCCTGTACCTCGTCTGTGGTGCTACTATCAATCCGTAAATGATAACAAGTGTACAGGTACCTATCCATTTGAGAGTTTCTTTCGGGAGTACTCTGAAATTGTGTGTCGACTTGAGAGCAACTTCGAAAATTTTTACTTTCAAATAGGCGATAGAAACTTCGCCGAGAGCTTACTCTCCGACAGAACTCTCAGAACCGTGTCCATTGGAAATTAGTCTGTGCCTACCCTCTGCAATTTCTTTCACTTTCTTTTAAGCTACGAACGAAGAGAGACCGTGATTATGGATGTGTAAAAACTTAGGGTTTTAATTATTCTTTACAATATTTTAACAAAGAGGAAGAAGTAACGTAAAAGGAAAAGTTACGGGGTCAAGACATGGATTCACTGTAAACAGATATATGAGGCATGTTCATCACTTACGGGGGAGTATTTAAACTTCGCTCCAATTTCGTTAAATATTTTTTTTTTATAATAGCAATTAAATCATATAAAGCAATTAAATCGAACGTTTGGTCTGATTTTAGACTCTCGCGATAACTACTCTCAAAATACGAAATTGTTTCGAATTGCGAAGGCAGCTCTCTGATAGTCATAGTACTATGTATCTGAGAGCAAGCTAGAACGTTAGCATTCTCGGACAGTTAGCGATGCTCTCGGACAATGACTCTCGACGCAATGTCCACCCTCGAGAACAACTCGCGATAGTTTTACTCTCAAGTGGATACGTACCTTACGAGCTTTAGAAATCCGGTGACTCCAATGTTGCGTTGACGCACACAGATACCACTTCGAGCACCTCTTGATGTATGATTCGTTGTTATATTTATTTATTGATTAGCGAATGACCTTGTATTAGAGATCGTTGAAATCGTCCATGCGCTATTGTACTAGCAACAAAAAGGTATAACATGCCATTTAAAAATAGATGTAACCTTGAAATCTATATATTGTGTCTATTCTACATTTTCGCGCGAGGCATACTACAGATCTTTTACTTATATGTTGTATTAAAAATATTAATTCATTTATAGGGAGAAAGTTCCTGCACATTTGCTTTCGTTGTAATATTCCTGGTGTTTTTTACCGCGGCAGATAAATTCACTCAGGCCATCATATGATCGACTTGTCGCGACGTATAAATCCGCTCTCCCAACTTAAGGGGTAATAGTAATTTAAAAAAAAAAAACAATATTATCAAATGTTAGATTAACAAAATTATATTAAAGATATAACTTTTGTTTGCTAAAAACTTAAATTAATATTAATAAATTTTTATTTTGATATTATGTATTATAAATTTGTATATGTTTGCACTTTTATATAAACTACTTTGTAATTTTATTAAATTATAGCGTATTATCACATGAAAATTCTTATATTAGGTAGAAAGCATAGAACCTGAAGAATATGTTAATGATATCGATGTAAAGCCAGAAATAGAAGAGGTAGAAGAAGAATCTGCCAGTGGTGAGTGAAACATCAACATATAATAAAATTTGTTTATTATATGCAGGCTCTTCGTAACATAAAATGATCCTCCATGCTCTTATATATTTCAAAAACTATAGCATGAATAGAAAATATAATTTTGGATATTTGTTATATTTTCTGTAATTTTCAAACACCAATGAAAAATAATTTTGATGGTTACAGTGGCAATGAAGTTTGGAGTTGGTGTGGCACTTGTTGTTGCTGCACATTTTGTCCTCGTGAAACGATGGAATAACGGTAACTGTTGTAACACCTTTGTTTTAAGAATAATAATGTAATTATTGTACATTTAGTCAAAATTTTAATTAAATTTGCATTCTTTTAACTAGCAGATTATACAATTTTTTATTAAAGTTATTGTTTAAATATAATCTTTTTTGACTTGCACATCATTTTATATATTTATACAATTGAAAGAATTAAATTTAGTTAAAAAAATGTATTAATTTCATGAGTAATTGTTAGCAATAGTGCAATACTTTAAACAATTATTTAAAATGTTTACAGGTTACAAAGAAATTATAATTATTTACAAATATTCCATAACAATTACAACATCATATATTTTAACTTGTAGTCTTTAAAACTCACTATTTGATTAATCGTATACTCTTTTTGGTGTTTAGAAGTTATCTTTGTTCAAAATCAGTCTAAATTAATTACATCCGAAAAACAAAAAACGGAAGAAAAAATAACTTCAAAAAAAGAAGAGATTTTTAAAACAGCAAAATACAAAGCAGGACAGGGTAAATGTGAAAAAATAGAAAGGAAAGAGAACAAGAAAGAAGAAAATGAAGAAGTAGAGGAGGATGAAGAAGAAGAACAAGAAGAAGATGAGGAGGAAGAAGTAGAGATAAAAAAAGAAATAAATAAAAACGTAGAATGGAATAGAAACATAAGGAAATACAAAGAAAGTAAAACTAAAGAAACTGAAATGAAACAAGAAGATGAAATAGTAATTGCACAGGAAACAATGTCAGAAGAAGAAGAAGAAGAAGAAGAAGAAAAAGAAGAAGAAGAAGAAGAAGAAGAAGAAGAAGAAGAAGAAGAAGAAGAAGAAGAAGAAGAAGAAGAAGAAGAAGAAGAAGAAGAAGAAGAAGAAGAAGAAGAAGAAGAAGAAGAAGAAGAAGAAGAAGAAGAAGAAGAAGAAGAAGAAGAAGAAGAAGAAGAAGAAGAAGAAGATGAAGGAGAAGAAGAAGAAGAAAATTTCGATGACTCTGAATTAATTGCAAAACTTGAGGCCAAATATGGAAAACTACAAACTACATAAAATGGTAATGAAGAAGATAGTGAACACAAAAAGAAAATCACAGTCGACAATTGAATGACATACAAATATAATTAATCATTTTTTAAATTGCATATAGAGGATGTTCAACGTAACAATCGCCACGATTTTTGAGACACTTCCGGTAGTCTAACAAAAAAATGTTATAAACAAAAATTAATCAGGGCCCGATCGGCAATAAATTTCAAAAATACTTTTAATACTAATGGTATTACCTACTACATATTGAACACCAAATAAATACTTACTTAATAATCTTGTCCAATCACCGCATATACAATCTGCGACAAGTCTATGACAAGTCTGTTTACTGTTCATATTCAGTGAGCATTCCTGAATAATATTCATGTTTGACTTACAATAGGCGTTCATAAGGACTCTCATTACATTAAGAATGATTTTTTCAACAAGTTATTGAACAAAGGTACTTATTAAATTTGTTGTCACAATGTTACCTACAATGTCACCGCATAGAAAAAATTACAGTCTTGATCAGTAATAAGCAACTGTTGTCTGGCTTGTAATAAGCAACTCGATATGCTCTCTGTTTTCTTTATTTGAAGTTGCCCGCCGAGTGAGAGATTTGAGAACCAGTGAGAGGTCCGTGAAAGCGAGAAGCCATAAATCATTGCGATCGAATGCACAGTGACATCGTTTAGTAGAAGAAGAATATAATATATATGATGCTTTCTCACTCTAGTATTAGCGATCCTGGCGTGTTATACATATGTATCTCGAGCCTCTCTCACGCTCTTTATGTTCTCTCCTCCCAAGATGCTCTCGGGTCTCTCTTCCCGATGGCTAGGGTTTCTTACTCATAGGCGCCCCCCCCCCCCTCCCCCGTTTCCCTCCCTGTTAGACACCCTTACGTTTTGCAGGTTTTTTGTAAATTTTCCTGCACGAATTATGCCCATGCATCATTTTCACACCAAATGTCTATCATCAAAATAACTAACGTCTCTTAAATTTTTTCAGAGCATAAGGAGGACTGACTTACTCCAGGTGGCTCTCCACAGTTTTCAGGTTGAAGCAATAAAAAAAAAACGCGCTCTTTATGTTCTCTCGTCACATTCGAGAACAAAGTCAAGCCGAATAGCATGCCTGATCCGTAATAAGCAACTACCCGGTTCCGAGCGAGTTGCTTATTACGGGTCAAAACTGTTTATGGTACCATTTAAAAATGTGAAGGTGATTTCGATTTTTATTGAAAAAAAGTATTTTTGCAATTTGTTGATGATAGAGTACTGGTTAATTTTTGTTTATAACATTTTTTTGTCAGACTATTAACCTTTTAACTACGGTGGAACTGGCCGCGGATTTATACCGTTGCACTGTACGGACAGCTCTGCCTCCAACTGCGAGTAAACGACGTTAGTACCGCGAGAAATAAAAAAAAAGAAGAAAAATGCGAATCAAAACATATGAAGGCGTTTCCGCATCACACAAATAATGTACACAGCTTTTAACCCGAGATAAACAAATGAGTCACAATAGTGATTTTCTGTAACAAAGTGTTGCTTATTAGAGTTTAGAGGAAAGCCACTATAGTGGCGTATCATTCAAAAAGATGACCTAGTGGGAAGCCAATATAGTATGTAGCTTCCTGTATAGTATGTAGCTAAAAGGTTAATAATAAAATCCGAAACAGCTTCAAAACTAATTCCGTATAACTTCATGTTTGTATAATTCTTTTGCGATTTATAATAAATGTACCTCAAATTAGTTAAATAATAGTATGTAACAAATAATAATTTTCATTGCTTTCATCTAAAACAAGTAAAGAAAGCATAAAGAAATTAAAAGTATTTTTGTATAAGATGTAATTAAAACAATATATATGTATTATATAAAAAGTAATGAAATTTTATGAGCATGGAGGATCTGTTATTACTATGTAGACAGTTTTGTATAATTCTTCAGTTTATTCTTAGACATACAATCACACCATGAATTATTGATAAATCGAACAAATTTATGCAACATTAAATTTGTGCTAAAAAACATTATACTAACATATAACATTTACAGAGTGTACAATGCCAATTTTTATGACATTTTGCAGGTTTCTAAAACAGTTGCAAGCAAAGGTCACTTATTTTTTTAGCAATGGTAACAAATTTCGAAGGTAAAACTACCTCTTTATGTTTCACCTTTATAATACTATTTTAAAAACTGTTATAATTAAAAAGAACTGTTTTAAACAAATTTGGTATGGTTGTTAATGAAAAATAGTGCAATGTATATAGTAATAAATCATGCGAAAAAATTAAAATTCATGGTAATTATTGGAAATATGGTCCTCATCACCGATTTCAATTACCTTGAAATATGTCGTCAAAGTCAACCTTTTAAACAGCTTTTCTCTATACATGTTACCGCCCGGACTCCTTTAGCTTTCGAGATATGTGATCAATATATACATATAACAATATATGAACTTAAAAGATCAAACTTAACCGATTTCTTACTTAACCTGACGGCGATCGGGATATTAACCTAACCTAACCTAATCCACCGATTAGTTAGGTTACATCAAAGAAATATCCTGACTGCCGCCAGGCGGTCGGCCACTCAAGTAGGAAGATGTTGAGTTTTAAACTTTCCCAAACTTAAAGCACTAGGTAAAATATGTAAAGTATTCTGCTTTATTTATTTGTTTTACGCGTTCGTTAATGATCACCTGTTGCTTATCACCTGTTGCTTAATGGCCACGTTGCGATGGTCAAATGAACCCGTTAATAGTCAATTAATAATGAACGTTGACTATCGCTCACTTACTGACAACCGAATAAGAGATTAAACAAATGAAGCCAAACTAAAACATGACACAAACATGTACTAAGCTCTATGTAAACTTATCCCAAACCTACAGAACATGATACTCAACATTGAAAGTATTTTTGCGTATATTTTAAAAACTAAAAAAGTCCGGCCATAAAATGTATAAGAATGTATAAGAAAAATTGTTTGGAATATTGACCGTGACAACTCCGCCTATAGACGTTCTGAAAATTTCCTAGCATTACACTGTTAAAGCCTTTTGGTACACTTCCACTTTAATTTAATATTTATTTTTTCCTTCACGCATTTCCACCTTAGTTCAATAAACCGAATTTTAAAAAGATACGGCCAAATTTTACAGCCGTGGTCAGTCATCCACGTTACGCATTAAAATCTGCCGTAGCGAAAGGATTAAATACATTACTTTTTTGAGGAAACAATGTGTCTAAAACGTCATTTCGAAAAGCGACGTTTCGTATGCATCAGCCTAAGTATTACGACGCAGGAGAAAATAATGTGCAAAGTATGGTAGGTTTTCAGGACACCGTACTTGCGGGTTACTGTATACGATTACGCATTACAGTCCACAAATGGGCGATGAATTGGTCGGTCGCGTAAAGCGGGCTGCTCGCCCGAGGTTGATGCCCGAACCCCGCGCCAACATTCCGGCTTCTCGTTCCCTTTTGGTCGTCTCTTCGATCCGTTTTGTGATGCCAAATCTGGAGGAACGCTCAGGATTAAGTTACGACACGTGAAAGGGTTTTGATTTTGCGTAGAGCTATCACTCCGAGACAAGGAGACAAATCGTGATCACTTTTCCCGTGGTTCATTCCACGTGAAATGATAAATGGGTCGCAGTTTTTTGACGTAACCTTTGACTCTCGTATTAATCCACTTTGTGTAATACGGGCCACGATAGAGGTAACGAGAATTCGTAAAATTAAATCCTCGAACTGCAGGACCGATTGATGTCGCCGCACTTATGGCCGTACACTGTATTTTGGGTTTCTGCAGGGTGAAGGAATGACGATTTACGAGTAACAGTGTGTTTCATTTACAAGTGGTAAATCTGCAAATGTTAATTGCTATTTGGAATATTTCGAGTTTTTGGATATTCTTTTGAAAGGCACCGCTGGCCGATTGGCTTGAAATTTAAAGGGAGTGGTGGGTAGGGAAGGTGGATCCCAAATATAAAATTTTAGCTTCGGGTATTTATTAGTTTCCGAGATATTAATAAAAACCCAAAACCCCAATACCCTTTTTTGGGTTGTGTTTGGTGTTAAGGTTGGGGTTATATTTCTAAGCAGCTGACGTAAACCGACCGCCAAATTTGTGATTTAAAGAAAAAAGAATTTTGGATTTGTCGAAGTTACAATAACTGATTCTACATGGGACACCCTTAGTTCCAACTCAAACGGACCACTTTAGAACCACACTCCAGAGGTTAAGTGTTAGGACAGCAAGGGGACGATTTTATGATACGTGATTTCTAATTCAGCAAATCGTTATTTTTAATTTAGCAGATCGGTCTGCAGCCAACATGCGGCACCTAGAATTTCTCAAATATTAAAGAATAGGCTATTGTTCAGTCAGTAAGGCAAGGTATCATAAAGTCACCCCCAAAGGGTCTTCGAAACCGATGCAAGGGACCTTCCGAACGAGTCGGAGAGTCAGAGTTGACCTGGCCGGGTTTTCCCCCCTTGTTGTCAAATTTCCATCCAGCAAGGACCAGCTTCGTCACCCCCGCTCCAAGGACGTGACGCGTTCCGGGCGCAATGGAAGGGGGTGATACGGGGTTGGTCACTTAGTAATTTTAAGAACCTCCCTTCGCGTCCCTTCTTCAAATTTTAGAAGATTTGGAGAAGGGACGACTCGATAAGAAGGCCGATTTAGCTTAAGACGAGAGAGTGTTAGTACACAGATCAACAGTTACCTCAGGAATCGTAAAGATTCAGTCAGACTCTCAACGCAATACGTTCAATCTTCAGACGGCACTAAGTGCAATATTCGAAGTACGCGGAAATTAGTACCCGAGTGCTTAACATTAAGAGATAGGGGGAGGGAGTGACTCGAAAACCATGGATTTTTCAAAAACTCTCTTAACGCAGCTTAGTAAACACAATAAAACGATGCAAGTTTTTTTTAAACTGTTTTTAAATATCTCTCACCGTCCCTAAGCTATTTTACGAAACATAAAATTCTGAATTTTTTTCAAGGGGTGATATCACCCTTTAAAACCGAATTATGACACCAACGAAAAAGAACTTATTTATACCTTTATTTATACCCAAAGTTTCATAATTTTTTGAATTTTTGGGTTGCCTAACCTTCCTTGCTAGGGTATTATTAAGTTTTAGTTACTAAGTGTGTAAATAGTATTTATTTTGTGTACAGTATTTATTTTTTGGATTAGTGATTGTAAATAAAGTTTAAGCACTGTAAACGGGACTTATTATTATTGGGAACGACTTAGGGAACTATAAAAT